TGGAATTTTAAATAGGCAGTAGAAGGATTTATGGTGAATTGCTACAATACATATTGCTGGGTTACTTTAATAGGTATATAGCATGGGAACTTTGGAGTTAGGGGAACTGGCTTGAATCACAGTTTAGCTCTTTACTATGTGGCATTGGAAAAGTCACTGACTTTTCTGAGCCTTGCTTTGCTCACCACCTTACTGGGATTGTGCTATTATTTCATAGTGATATTAGAATAAAATGGAAATGTATATTTATATTGCTTAGGACATTGTCAGTAATCAATATCTGTTATTACTGTTTTGTACTATATTTCATGGTAGATGAAAAGTATTTACCTTCTTTTTGTGCTGACAAGGCATTTATGGATTAGCCTGGAATCCCATTTTAGAAAAATAAGGCTCAAATTCTGTTCACACTGAAAGTTACACTGAGAAAAGTCTGTTGCTTTGGTAATCCTTATATTTTAAATAACAGTAATCCCCCCTTAGCCATGAGCCAGCCATATGTTCTAGGACCTGCGGTAGATGCCTGAAACCACAGATAGTTCCGAACTCTATTGATACTATATTTTTTTCTGTACTTACATGCCTGTGATAAAGTTTAATTTATAAATTAGGCACAGTAAGGGACTGACAACAATAATAAAACAGAGCAATTATAGCAATACTCTAATAAAACTATAGGATTGTAGTCCCTCTCTCTTGCTTCCTCTCTATCAAAATATCTTATTGTACTATACTCACCTGTTTTCAGACCATGGTTGACCATGGGTTGCTGAAACCATGGAAAGTGAAACTGCTGAAGGTGGGGGGAGCTGTATAATCTTTGTAAATGGATTAAAATTATAATTAACTTAATTAAAACCAAGAAGTAAAAACATATTCCTGTCACTTTTATCTAGTGATTCTCTCTTAGTAGAAATGAAAGATAAAAGGCAATGCAGATATTGGAGAACTAAATGTATAGGTTAGTTATATTGCTGTGTTGTCATCTCCATTTATCTATGATGGTAGTGATTATATTGAGGCTAGTGGGACTTGATTTTTATTCAGATTAATTTGTAGACTCACGCCTATAATCTTGGCAGTCTGGGAGGCTGAGATGGGAGGATTACCTGAGGTTAGGAGTTTGAGACCAATCTAAGCAAGAGCAAGACCCCGCTTCTACAAAAAATAGAAAAATTAGCTGGGCATGGTGGCACACACCTGTAGTCTGAGCTATGATGATGCCACTGCACGTGACATAGCAAGACCCTATCTCAGAAAAAAAAAAATTAATTTGCTTGGGAAACAGACTTTAAAATATATAATAGCCATGTTATTTTGGGGTGGGGATTTTGTCTTCCATTTATTATTTTGTCCATACAATCTCCATATTAGATCGGTAGAAAATACTTTATTTCATGGTACCTTTGAAATAATCATTTATAATATATAAATTCAAGTTATAAAGAGTTTTTTAAATTCCATGGTATCAGATATAATAGTATACTTCCCCTCATTTAAAATTACTACTTTGTGTCAGATTTTTTTCTGAACATTTTCCTGAACCTATCCATTCCAATATCTTTTGCTGTGTTGCTTGTTTTTATCTTTAGGATAGCTGTCTTTGAAGAATATTTGTGTATTATGTATCTATTTTCATTAGTTTCATTGTTTTCTATTGGGTAGTGTGTGTCTATATAGACACATACACACACATATATACATACACACTCACTTGTTTTGAGGAATCTCATGTATAATCCTTGCCCCAGAGCTCTCATAATTTTACACTGCATCGATTTCTAATTATGGTTTCCATTATTCTTTCTGCCTTGAAATTTTATTCTATTATTAGCATCTGTCACTGGCACTGAGGTGAACTAAAAAATCTCTTGTCCTTATTTCAGTAACTGCTATACTACATGTGTTTTTTATCCTTTATATTTATTCAAAAGTTATAGTTAAGATGAAGTCTTAATAATAATGATTTCTTTTAATCTAAAGTTTACGTAATACTCATTGTTATTCAAATTAAGTATCTAATCATCTATTTCAGTAATTTTTGGTACATTTGGGGCCAAGCTTGAAGAAAAGTATGTAATTCTCTGAATAGAGGTTTTGTTCTTACATAAAAATAGTTTTCCATTCCATGTTTTTTTAATTCAGTACATTCTTAACTGTAGTTGCAAAAGAGATCAGTGCCCCATGTAAGCCAAAGGAATAAAAAATATTAAATTTTTACCTGAAACTGGCATTAAGGGAGGGTAGTTTGCAGTATGTTTAATTTTCTAAGCTTTGTTTTATTTACACTAAAAATATATTTTTATTCACTGAACTCCTAAGTTACATGGCTAATTATTGTCCCTATGAAAGTTTCATAGCCAAAAGTTAATAATATCTTTTCTTCTTGCCCACAGCTAGCATATGCTTAACTACAATACTACGTACCTTTTTAATAGACGGAAAGGAAAATTACCTAATTAATCATCTTTGAGCATCCAGAGTTCCTACCCTAATGTAGGCTCACAGTAAATGTTCACTTATGAGAGAATGAATAGAACTGGAAGGAGTGCCCGAAGCACCCTCAGTCCCTTATAATTTGGCTCTGTCATTTGCTAATTCAAACTAATGAAGACAATACTATAGTAAATCTTCAAGAATCTTTTCCTTTAAACAATTAGGAAGTAAAGGAATAAACAAAGCCATCATTCATTTGGTTGCAAAAATGCAGCTTGACTTTCATGGTTTTCAGAGCCCACAAGGTTGAGAGGATTTCTCATAAATGTACTATATATGACTAAAACACATATTGAGAAGATTGGTGTGAAAAATCATTTATTCTAATTAGATCTTTATTACAACCTATGAAGGGGGCAAGGAAGAGATTATTTTTATTTTAAAAGTGTATTTACTTTTTGCCAGGCTCAGTGGCTCATCCCTGTAATCCTAGCACTTTGGGAGGTTGAGGCAGGAGGATTGCTTGAGGCCAGGAGTTCAAGACCAGCCTGAGGAAGAGCAAGATCCCATTTCTACAAAAAATAGAAAAATTAGCTGGGCATGGTAGCACACGCCTGTAATCTCAACTACTTGAGAGGTCAAGGCAGGAGGATCCCTTGAGCCCAGGAGTGTAGTGAGCTATGATTACTCTAGCCTAAGTGACAGAGCAAGACCATGTTTCAAAAAAAAAAAAAATTAAAAAAAGTACTTACTTTTAATGTGTTTTGCTCTAATGTGTCTAGACATGATTGTTATTGAAATTTATTCTGTTTAAGATAATTTGTTAAATTATCTGAGAATCTATATTTTTCATTAGAGATGGAAAATTATAGTTTTACCTCTGAATATTTAGTATCCTTCCTTCTCTCCTATTTTTATGTCCTCCAGTTGAACATAGAATAGATTTTTTCATCTCATTTTTCATTTCTCTTAAACTTTTTCTTTCATATTTTCTAAGTCTTCCTTTAGTTGTACTTAATTTACTATTTAACTCATCTATTGAGTTCTTAATTTTAGTTAGGTTTTTCTTGAAGTTCAATTGGGTTTTCTTTGTAGATCTGCCTAGAATTAGATTGTTTATTGCTCATGTTATCATTCTCTTATTTCTTTAGACATTTTGTGTTATGTGACTGGTAATTTTAATATCTGAGGTCTCAGGGTATGTATGTATGTATGTATGTATTTAAGACAGAGTCTCACTCTGTTGGCCGGGCTGGAGTGCTGTGGCATCAGCCTAGCTCCCAGCAACCTCAAACTTCTGGGCTCACGGCCTTCTCCTGCCTCAGCCCTCCTGAGTAGCTGGGACTACAGGCATATGCCACCATGTCCAGCTAATTTTTTTTCTTTTTTGAGACAGGGTCTCACTTTGTTGCCCAGGCTAGAGTGAGTGCCTTGTTGTCAGCCTAGCTCTCAGCAACCTCAAACTCCTGAGCTCAAGCAATCCTACTGCCTCAGCCTCCCGAGTAGCTGGGGCTACAGACATGCACCACCATGCCTGGCTAATTTTTTCTATATATATTAGTTGGCCAATTAATTTCTTTCTATTTATAGTAGAGACAGGGTCTCGCTCTTGCTCAGGCTGGTTTGAACTCCTGTCCCTGAGCAATCCATCCACCTCGGCCTCCCAGAGTGCTAGGATTACAGGCGTGAGCCACCGCGCCCAGTCCTGGCTAATTTTTTATGTATGTATATTTTTAGTTGTCCAGCTAATTTCTTTCTGTTTTGTTTTGTTTTTTTTCCCCCCAGTAGAGATGGGGTCTTGCTCTTGCCCAGGCTGTTCTTAAACTCCTGAGCTCAAATAATCTGCCTGCCGCAGCCTCCCAGGGTGTTAGGAATACAGGCGTGAGCCACCATGGCCAGCCGGTCTGAGGGTTTTAATTCAGCTGTTGTTTCTGCTGCCTCTTGCTCATGATAGCAGATTCTCTCATGTGTTTTGTTTATATATTGGACTTGTGAGCTTACGTTTAGATTTTCAAATGCACGTGAAGGTAGACCTGTGCTTATGAATACTCAGGGGAAACTACATCTCCGTACCTCAAGAACACAGGCTAAGACCTGTCATTTTCTTTTATCAATAAACAGGCAGTTCTTTGCTTGCTTGTTTTCTCATTCATCCTTTCACAAAGATAGTAGCTTTATGCAGAGACCTCAGATCCAGCTCAGTCTTAGGTGGACTGGAGGTTATGTCTCTGATTCCCCACCAGGCTCTGAGCTCCTGGCTCTTTGGGGTAGCCATGGCTTCACATTGTATTAGCTTATCACTCTTGATTTCTGGGTTTTTTTTCATTGTTGGCTCCTGGCAATTCCTCTTACTTACGTTAAGAGCTTAGCTATGCTTTTAAAAGAGTATGTTTCTAAGTTTTTTGAGGCAAAAGAGTTCTGGGAAAATGTAGTGTGTTATTTTGTTCTATTTTCATTTTACGTGTTTAGAAAGCTCAAGTGACTTATTCCAGTTTATGTTAGAAATGGTAGAACAGTCACTACTTATTTATTGATTTCTAATATGCTCATTTGCCTTAAAACAGATTTTAAAAATCAGTCTCAGAAGAACCAAAGAAGGCTTCACTGTGGAAGTAACATTTGATCAGTCCCCTAAAATACAGGTAGGATTCTTGTAGGAAGAGATAGGAAGTAAGAGGTTATAGGTAAGGGTGAATGACATGTGCATAAGTAGGAAAATAGGGAAGTATAAGGAATAATCAACAATTGTAAGTAGTTTAGTATCGGTAAAACCATATCTTTTTTTAATAGAAAGGAAGCATTTATTGAACTCCTGTGTCCAGTAAATTCATAGGTTCACTATTAAATTCATAGGTTCAGTATTAAATGTAATAGGTTAAATAAATATATTGAATTCCAGATATAATGGTAGGTCCTTTTAACATTTTACTCAATCTTTACTGCATCATTGCGATATTATCATCCTATTTTACAGGTGATAAATTTTTTTTACACTAAAAAAGTTTTTTAAATTATGGGTAGATAATAGCTGTGTATCTTTATAGGGAACGTGTGATGTTTTGATACAGGTATACAGTATAAATTAAATCAGAGTAAGTCGGGTATCCATCACCTCAAGCATTTATCATTTCTTTGTGTTAGGAACATTCCAGTTCCACTCTTTTAGTTATTTCAAAGTACACCCTTACTTATTGTTGATTGTAGTCACTTTGTTGTGTTATCAAATATTTTGTTCATTCTATCTAACTATATTTTTGTACCCATTAATCATCCCTACTTTATCACTCTATCCCCACTACCCTTCCCAGACTCTAGTAACCATCATTCTATTCTCTGTCTCCATGAGGTGAATTGTGTTTATTATTTAGCTCCTGCATGAGTGGGAACAAGCAAGATTTGTCATTCTGTGCTTGGCTTATTTTACTTAATATGAATATTAAGTGTTAGTCTCATGATATTCTCCAGTTCTATCTATGTTGTTGAAAATAGCAGGATTTCATTCTTTTTTTTGTGGCTATGTAATCCATTGTGTATTTGTACCACAATTTCTTTATCCATTCATCTGTTGATGGACACTTTGGTTGATTCCAAATCTTGGTTATTGTAAATAGTGCTGCAATAAATGTGGAAGTGCAGCTATCTTTTTGATATACTGCATTCCCTTTCTTTGGATATATACTCAGAGGTGAGATTGCTGGGTCATACGGTAGTTCTATTTTCAGTTTTTTGAGGATCCTCCATACGATTCTCCATAGTAGTTGCATAGTAGTTACATTCCCACCAGCAGTGTACGAGGATTCCCCTTTCTCCTCATCTTCACCATCATTCTTTATTGCCATTTTTTTGTGCCTGTCTTTTTAATAAAAGCCATTTTAATGGGGGTGAGATGATACCTCGCTGTAATTGTGATTTGCATTTCTCTAATGATGTTGAAACATTTTTTCGTATACGTATTGGCCTTTTGCATATCTTCTTTTGAGAACTGTCTAGCCAGATCCTTTGCCTGTTTTTTAAGATTAGTTGATTTCTTCCTATTGAGTTGTTAGAATTCCTTATATATTCTAATCATTAGTCCCTTTTCACATGGGTAGTTTGCAAATATTTTCTCCCATTCTGTGGTTTGTCTCTTTCCTTTGTTGATTGTTTTTCCTATGCTGTACAGAAGCTTTTTAGGTTTATGTGATCCCATTATTTGGCCATTGACCTAGGTGATGTTTTTATGGGATTAATTCCCATTTTGAAACTTGGAGAAATAGAGTACAATTGAAGAAAGTGGGGAATGAGTTATCAGCACAGTTGAGCAAACTGTATCAATGAAATCAATGACTGACCCACCATATAATCCTGATCTGTTCACAAATATTTGGCACTGATTGAGCTACATTTACATTTAAGACAGTTGACATGAGTAACTGAGGAATGCCATTATGCAGCTCTATCACTAAAGATGTCTACATGAGCATTGAGCAGGGAGGAATTCAGAAACTTACTTGGCACTATGACCCACTTTCATTATTTCTTTGATTTCTTACCTCCTTGTACTCTACCCTCACACCTCTGCATACACTGCCCATTCAAGTCAAAAACAAGAATGATGATGATAAATATAAAATTAAATATTTTAAAATAAATGAAAATTGAAGTTAATTTAGTTGTTACAGTAGAGCAAGCATTATTTGAGATATTTAGAAAAGCTTTTCATGCCAGTACCATTGTTTTGGTTACTACAGCTTTGTAGCATAATTTGTGTCTTTGGTTGTGATTTCAGAGTGATACAGGCTTTGTAGAATAAATGTGGGAATATTTCCTCCTCCTCAGTTTTTGGAATAGTTTAAGTAGGATTGGTATTAATTCTTCCTTGAATGCTTCATAGAATTTAGAAGTGAAGCCATCAGGTCCTGGGGTTTTCTTTGATGGGAGACTTTTTATTACTCTTTCTATCTCATTACTTAATACTGGTTTATTCAGGTTTTGGATTTCTTCCTGGTTCGATCTTTGTAGGTTGTATCTGTCTGGGAATTTATCCATTTCTTCTAGGTTTTCCAATTTATTGGCATATAGTTGCTCATAGTAATCTCTAATAATCCTTTGGATTTCTGAAGTATCAGTCTTGTCTTCCTTTTCATCTCTGATTTAATTATTTGGATCTTGTCTTAGTCTGGCTAAAGATGTGTCAGTTTTATCTTTTCAAAAAACCAACTTTATGTTTTGTTGATCTATATTTTTTTTGTTTCAATTTCATTTAATTCTCTGATCTTTATTCTTTTCTTCTGCTAATATTGGGTTGGTTTGCTCTTGTATTTCTAGCTCTTTGAGATACATCAGGTTGTTTATTTGAAGCTTTTCTACTTTTTTGATGTAGGCACTTATTGCTATAAACTTTCCTCTTACGCTGCTTTTTCTGTATTCCATAGGTTTTGATATGTTCTGTATTCATTTTCATTTGTTTTGAGAAATTTTTTAATTTCCTCCTTAATCTCTTCATTGACCCACTGGCCATTCAGGAGCTATCGTTTAATTTCCATGTGTTTGTATATTTCTCAATGTTTCCTCTCATTACTGATTTCGAGTTTTATTCCATGTGGTCAGAGAAAATGCTTACTATGATTTCAATTATTTTAAAAAAATTTTTTGAGAACTTGTTTTGTGGCCTAACATATATTCTGTCCCGAAGAATGATCCGTGAATTGGGGAGTAAAACCCTATCTAAATGGACTTTCGTTTCATCTCTCCCCCTATTCCATTCATTACCCTATTTTACTCCCCAGCCACAACATTTATTATAGTGATATCACAAAGTATAAAATTTTATTTGCTATGGTAGATTAGAAGGAGCTTTGAATAGTATTGAATAATTATCTCAGGAACTTTGTCCATACTTGGTAGAAAGGCTTTGGAATAAAATATTCTGTTTGAACCTCTGCTAGTAGAGAGCGATTGAATTCCAGTACTAACCACTCGGAGTTAATACAGATCCCGCAAGTTTTATAAAGGGCACAGTCTTCAAGTAGTGGATGAGAAATTAAGGTATTGTGGAAACGGATGTGATTATAGACTGTATTTTACTGAAATTTGTTGGTAGGAAAAAAAGATTGTAAATAGCAGCCAAGATTGTTGTATGAGGATGGAGCCAAATTACTGAAAAACTTGAATGTCAGAAAAAACATGTTTTAAATTCTGTTGATAAAGCAGAATGGCTTATAGATGAATTTCAAGTACATGTGTATTATGATCAGGATGTTTTTTTGAAAGATGAGTTTGGCCATATAAAAATGTTTGGCTACTTTTCAGGTGAGGGATAATGAGAGCCTGAGTTAAATTGGTGGAGTCAGAGGTCAGCCATAGTGGCTCACTCATGCCTGTGATCCTAGCATTCTGGGAGGCTAAGGTTGGAAGGATTGCTTGAGGCCAGGAGTTCGAGACTAGCCTGAACAACAGCAAGTTCCCACCTCTACAGAAATATGTAAAATTAGCTGGGCATGGTGGCATACTACCTGTAGTCCCAGCTACTTGGGAAGCTGAAGCAGGAGAATTGCTTGAGCCTAGGAATTTGGGATTACAGTAAGCTATGATGACGTCACTGCACTCTAGCCAGGGCGGCAGAGTGAGACTCTTTTTTTTTTTAAAAAAAAAAAGAAATGCAGAAGAATAAGTACATGAGAATCACAGGAGAGTAAGTAAATCTTGGCACCGGTCTATCTATCTATTTACTTTTGAGTATTTATGTAAGAGTAAGGGTAATATGAGAGAGACTGGAGATCTAAAACATACAGATAGAATAATTGATGAAGCAAGAGGAGCTATCAGTAGCACAGATAGAGAAACTAACCTTGAAAATTCAGAGAAACCCTTTTCTGAGACAAAGGGGAAAGGAGAATAAAGTGATAACATTTTTGAGGTAGAGAGGAGATAAGTTTGGGAAAGAGGCAATTTTGCTAAGAGTAGGGGGAAATGGGAGAAGGAAGGGGGGAGTCCTATCAGCAGTTGGAGTTCCTGAATTGGGTGTGGAAAGGGCTTAGAATATCCCATATGCTACATGTTGATATGGAAGTCAGCAAGAGAGATTAAGGAGTTTGTGGTGGATCAAGTAATTGCAGTTTTGGACTTTTTCCAACAATTCACAGCATCCTTTATGTAAGAGTAGAAAGGCAAACCAGATTGTTTAGCCATAGTTGACCAAGTAAAAACACTTTGAATGTTGTTAAATAAAAGATAGTGATAATAAGGTAGTAAAGGTTATGATTTTATGGGAAAAAATTTTAATGACACAAACTTAAGTCTTTTTTGGTCTTTAACTCAATTGTTTATATGCCAGGAAAGTTTGACCAGTAGTTATCATGCAGTTCAAAATGGAAGTGTCGCTCAAGTCTGTAATCTTAGCACTTTGGGACACTGAGGCTGGAGGATCTCTGGAGCCTAGGAGATGAAGGCTACAGTGAGCTATGATCATGCCACTGTACTCTAGTCTGGGCAACAGAGTGGGACTCTGTCTCTTTGAATAAAAAGAAAAGAAAACAGTGATAAAAATTAAACTTACATCTATAATTCAGGGTAGCTGTTAATCATAATACATTCAAAGAGGAGAAAAATACCCTAGTTTTTCATTTTTTGAGCTCCCTTTTTTAAAATCAAGGCAGGAAAT